ATCTTCCTGCTGATCTTTCAATTTTGAATTTAACTTCCGTTTCCTGAAACAGAAATTCTTGGATAGTTCAAAGTTAAAGAGACACTTTCTCATTCATACGGGAGAAAGGGATTTTATATGCCCTCATGAAGGCTGTGGAAAGGTGATCAATTTTAACCGTTCTTAGCAATCTAGTTGGACACATCGTTATATCTTTTGTTCTGTTTAAACGGGAGGCATGCTACCAGTATAACGTCCTTACGGTAAATCTCGTTCCACGTCTAAACTTATGTAGTTGATCGTGCAGGCATTCTCCTTGGATTTTAACCTCAGATCTCACATGAAGACTCATTCACAAGAGAACTATCACATCTGCCCATACCCCGGGTGTGGAAAGAGATACGCTCATGAATACAAGCTAAAGAACCACGTTGCAACTTCCCATGAAAAGGTGAAAAATATTACTCATTCGGCTGTTCGATAATTTCCTGAAATACTTTTGCTTGTGCTATGGAAACCCTCATTGTAGGAAACTGTTATTGTAGTTTCATGTACTGCTATGCTCAAGAAGTTTACATTTTCGCCTTATTCATCCATCATCGAACCGTATAGTACTCATTTCTCTGTTTTTGTAAAATTTTTAGCAGAATGTAGCAGCAGAAACTCCCAAATATAGCACTCCACCTACGGAGAAAGTATCCAGGAACCTAAAAACATCATCGGCAGCATATGGCTCTGCATCTTTGGACCGACCATATGCATGTCCTTACGAAGGTTGTGAGAAAGCATACATTCACGAATACAAGCTGAAGCTCCACTTAAAGAGGGAGCATCCAGGGCATTTATCAGAAGAGAACGCTGAGAATGCCAATACCACTGCCGCCACCATTAACAACAAGAACAATGGAGAGAATGATATGGACGAAGGCAGTGACCAAGATGCTTATGGGAAACACTCAAACGGGAAAGTTCAGAAGCAACAGGGAAGGACTAAGCCGAGTTTGAGGTTACCGCCAGGCAAAGCCGGGAAGAAAGGTCCGAGATCATCACCGGCCACGGTAACAGTTTCCAAGAAACCATGGCAAGTGAAAGGAACATTTGAAGAAGAAGAAGAAGATAGTGAGGAGACACAGGAAGATCGGGAGAATGTCGAAGAGGGCTGGAGATACGGGGAAAACAACGAGGACGATGATGAAGAGACGGAATACGAAGACTAAATCGATCCCGGGATTATCTTCTTTTTTTTTTTGCTGTATTTCTCTGTACTCTCCAACTCTTTGCTCTCTTGATATGGCGATTTTGAGTATATATTGGCACTTGATATAACACATTTTCTTCTTCTACAACCCTACAGTAACAGTAACAAGTTCCCACTTCCATTTTCAGACAGCCTTTTATATTATTAAAGACAAAACACTATACTGTTTATGTTTCACAAACCACGTAGTAAAACTTAGGGCAAGATTTCAAACTCGGATTTCTTATAGAAATAGGAGAGTTTGAAATTACACAGACAGCTGAATCAGATCATACAACAAAGCCAACCTTTGCAAAGGCAAAAGAGCTTATATCATATCACCACTACACACTTTACATGACATGTCCTCTTGGAATGAGACAATACAGACGAAACACAGAGATAGATAGGACTCTAGAAGAATGCAGCCAGTAATCCCTAATATGGATACTGTGATTGCAGACCAGAGATGAAACAATTGAGTTAATATCTGATCATAATTACCTAACACAAGAGAGAGATCCCGTGGAGCAGAAACTATTCCTTCAGCAACCGCCTCTGGTTAACCAGTTTTTTTTTTCCAATGGCCGCAGTCGCTCGGTCGGGATGTCAAACCAGTCAACAAACAAAGGGCTAAAGGACTGACTAAGAAGCATAAACAAGAGACAAGAGGCAATGTGATATGTCTTCTTAACCTGGAGAAGCACCTCAGAAGCTGATGGAATACCGCAAAGGCAGCTCAACCATATGCCTAAAACAACAAATTCGGGTTTGAACTGCAAACCCTTAGGGCCTCAAGGAAAGGTTTGAGAATTGTGACTCTAGATCTCTGCTCTTAGAGCGCTGGTGGCTAGATGATGATGCTTGTTTCTTTGTTTGCTGCTGTGGTTCTAGCTGTTGTTGCTGCTGGTATAAGGCTCTCAGCCTCACAATCTCTTTCTCCAATACTTCATGCTCCACTTGAAAAAAAAAAACAAAATTAAACAAATTTTCTTACATCAGGTACATGATAAAGCTGCCATAAGGTTTCTAATACCCTTAAATCTCGGCTTGAAACTTTGTCGATTATCCACTTTTTACCTTTTCATTGCAGAAATTACCTTTCCTCGACAATGGAACCATGAAAAAGTAGACGTTTTTCACAGAGGCCGTGAACTTACAGTATTTAATGAGCTGCTCTTGTGCTAAACTTTCCAACCGCTGCTTAAGAGTTTTGTTCTCTACGCTCAGAATAAGATTCTGCTGATTGAGGAAATCAAGCTCTGCCGATACTTCAGAACCTTCTGCTTGTAGTGCCTGAACATTCCTCTCCAGCTCTGCTATGTATTGGATTTTACGAACCCGAGAGCGTTGAGCGAATTGCCTGCAAAAGAAAGTCTTCTCACTTGATTGTGCAGTATGAAGTCAAGAATCTCAAGACTCAGAAACACTAATTATCCTAATGATCATACTCATTCCTAGATCCTCATCAGCTGGATGCTTAGCATCAGATACATTTTGCACACGAAAACATGCATAAGATGCACGAATCAGATTTAATCAGAAAATTCAATTCAGTTTCCTACTCAAACCTCTTGTCAAATCAACCCATAAATATTTCAAAATCAAAGGCACTTCACACAGACTATAAGAAACAAAACAAGCCACGTACTGCCTAGCACGTTTTGTATCGGCCTCTGAAGCCGCAAGCTTAGCTTGAGAATTGTCCTTTTTATCGGCAGACACCTTGCAGAAATTATTTGAGAATTGTGTGGCGTGAGCCATCTTGCCATCTACAGCACATGAAATCCTTTCTGTTTCATATGGTACACTGGATGATCCTGGATTTGGGACAGAAGTGTTCTCCAGAAAAAGAGAACTATTGCTAGGGCGAGCTCCAGCATCTGATATTGAATCCCAAGCTTTATTTTTCGGCTTTGCCAAATGAAATGCAGGGTAGAAAGAGACATGTTGGGCGTCTTTGAGGTCATCAAACTCCTTTGGACCTCTGGCATGTCCAGCAAAACTATTTTTATTTCTACCATCATCCCAAAGAGAATAATGCATATCGGAAACATTAGCAGCATCTACATATGCAAACGAGTCACTTGATGAACGCCGATGACCCCCTTTTCGTACAGGAGTCTCTGGCTCGTTGAGAAGGTCATCAAGCCAAGAAGGTTGTTCCTCCATCAGAAAGCTCTCAGACGATGTTCGGTGATGATGGGCATTTCCTTCTCGAGGCTTCTGAACCGCTTTGGATCCACTAAAACCATGTGGAACCCCCTTTTCGTACAGGAGTCTCTGGCTCGTTGAGAAGGTCATCAAGCCAAGAAGGTTGTTCCTCCATCAGAAAGCTCTCAGACGATGTTCGGTGATGATGGGCATTTCCTTCTCGAGGCTTCTGAACCGCTTTGGATCCAATAAAACCATGTGGAACAAAATCAGTACAGAATGTTGAACCACCGGGAAATGGACTTTTAGGAGGAAGGAAAGCCTGCTTTCCAGAGTATGGCAGGTTTCTAAGGTTCTGAGATCCCTTTGAGCTTGCCATCTGCCTGCAATAAACACAATCGATGAACGACCAAAATATACTCAGACGTAAATGGGATAAGAAGGGACAAGCTTTTCCGGTCCATGAGAAAACAACAAATTACCAATCTAACGCATTGGTGATCAACCTATGCAAGAAATAACTTCCAAAAATAGGTAATACAGCTTTACCAACCAAAAAAAAAAAGAGGATAGAGACTAAAATCTCCAGATATGCCAAAAACAAGGTTTGGTTTTGGAAAAAAAAGAAAGTGCCAGATCTTTCAGGGACTGCTACAGGTACTTCTTCCTGACAGCGAGTTACATAAATAGTAGCATAAGGGCTCACATTCGAGTGAGGTGAGAAGCAAAGGTTACCTCTCAAAACAAAATTCACAGCATAACCAGAAAAATATAAACTTGGAGGATCTTTTTATATAGTATGATTTGATGAATGTGATACGAAGGGAGATAAACAATGTGACAAAAAAATCTCAAGGGAAATCCAAATCCCACAACTTTTATGTCAGTTCTGGTTCAAATCTCTCGAACCTTGCCCGTTAATGTAGATAAACAATGTGACAAGAAGAGTTACAGCCATTGGAGGCAAACTCTACACCATCGAAGGCAAACTCCTAAACACCATTGCCACGAAAGTACATTCTGCTACTATTCCTTTCCATTCGGGCAACTCGAACATGAATTAACGGATAAGCCATCTATCTTAAAACTCGAAGGAAACTCAATTTTCCTCTTAGCAAAATTTTAATCACCAAGGAAAATCCACAATGCCAGAAACCCTAAAAGGTGGAGCAAACCCAGAAACATGAGAGTAGAACAACACAATCAATGCACGAAACAAAACCGGACGAATCGAAGAGAGAGAGATTTTCCCAGAAAAACAAACAAAGGGACAGAGATCAGCGAATACACAGATTTATCCGAAGCGGAAAAAACCCGAAAGAGAGACTGAAGCACAAATGAAGATCAAACGAAGAGAAGAAGCGTGAACTCAGAGAACTCGTACCGGGATCTCGGAATCGAACAGGAGAATGAGGAGGAGATGATAGGAACGGTGAAGTGGTGATGCTGTATCGATGATGATGGTCGTCGTCGTCGTCGTCGAGTGATGAAGGTCTACTTGTTCTTCAACCTCTCTGATTCTGTATTTATTTAACTATTTTCTTTTTTTTTAATTTTTTTTAAATGGTGGAAAGAGGTTGGGAGCTGAGCTGGTTTGATCAGTAAAGCCTAAAGTTTTTTAGTACCAAAAATAGACCCTCGCCCCCGTTTCCCCGTATGCTCGATTTATTTATTTTTAATAATCTATTAATAATAATTACGTTCAATTGTAATATTACTAATTAAGATAAAATCCCATAATGCATCGATTCTCTGGTTTCTAGATTAACAGAACAAACTTATGCTTTTTTTTAAAAATATCAATTAAATAAATAAATTTTAAAAAAGTATTATAAAAAAATTACAGTGACTATTAAAAAATCGTTCATAGGATGACGAAATTCGACGAAGAAAAATGACGTGACGCTGGACAAATGAAATAGGATGCTGTATATATATATATATATCACAAAAATAAAAGCGCTCGCCGCTCACACAATTAAAAAAAATGGAAACAATAACAAATTAAATACTTGTATGTATATATATATATACACACGCATATGTACATATTTATCTATACATGCTTGTACATATATATAATATACACACTTGCATACATACATACATACATACATATATACGCACATACATATATATAATGTTTATATGCATACACATATTTTCATAATTATATATACACATACACACGTATACACCATTATATAGACATACATTTTTATGTCCATGTCTATAAGCATGTATAAACACATAGATGTATGTGTGCATAAGTTTGTATGTGTATATATCTATACGTGTATAAAGCACGTATTTAATTGAATACATATTTTATTTATGTTTTTAATATGTCATGATGTTTTTCTTACGTGGCATATGGTATGACGTCTTACCATTTTTTGGATGCACGTCATTTATGAATCCTCGAAGTATGTAATAAGTTAACCGTATTAACATTCATAGATTTTTTTTTTTTTTGGGTAAAATGTAGCCCAAAATGGGTTTAGAGTGCATTTTGTATCTTTCCACCTTACCATTTTGTCAAGCACGTTTGGATAACATTCATAAAAAAAATTTAGAATGTATAGAAATTTTTGGGGCATTTAATTGGTATTTAAAGGAGCTCGTATATTAATCTATTAACATTATTAATATGTGCTAAATTACCACTTTCTAATATATATTAAATTGACATTTTTATCGGAGTTCTTATATTAAAACGGAAATTTCCCGTAAATTAAGATTATCTTTTTCTTAGAGTTGGATATGCAAAAAAAAATAAGAAAAAAAGAGAGTCCAACAACCAGATGGGTTCATGGAGGAGGTTTAGAAGCTGAGGCCATTGCCAACTGAGCTAATAGGTCACATGTCAATGTAAAACCTTTGCTTCTTCTTTACATCAAATACCCAACAACCATATTCTTGATTTGTTTTTGTATGTTAATTGGCATTTTTTTTGGGAGAAAAAATAGAAGATTATAATACCTAACTTTGTAAAAAATTTCTAAATAAAATTTCAATTTTATTTTTATCTTTTAAAACCCGAAATTTGATATTCATATTGAAATAAATGTGAACTTTATAAATAATGTCAAATTTAACTCTAAATACTAGCATGTCAACCCAAATGATGATGTGACAATTTATAATTTATCCACTTTGCATATGACATTGCAGATGACACGGTAACATTTTGTCAATATCAAAATTATTACATTTAGAGAAATTTTACAAGTTCAAGTATTAATATTCTAATTTCCTTTTTTATATCTATAAACAAGAATATTAGTTTCAAATTTAAAACTACTTAAAAACAACGAAAATCAAAACAACAAGAATGGCCTACTAGTGTCCAATCTGTATCATATAATGTCTAATGTTGTCTATACAGGTTTTTTTTTTCCTGTTAATAGTTTTCCAAAGGAAAACAGTAAGAGAGAGATATTTGCATAGTAAACTTAACAAACTAAATTATTCGCGTCTATCTCTAATATATATTTACATATATTTTAATAAATCTTCAGACATATTTATATATATATTTCTAATAGACCCATTAATCTCAACTCGCGAGCGGATTTCATATCGGACACTTTTTCCCACGTATTATTAGATGGAATTTTAAAACTAAGCAAAGACAAAACACAATGGAATGGATCCTACGGATCACGTATAGTACAACACAGAGAGAGAGGCTTACATGAGTGTTTTGCATTAGGAGCCAAGCAGTTTCTTCCACCGAGCGTAACCAAAGACGACGACGAAAACCACAATGCAAAAAGCCGTGACACTCCACACGAAGTATCCGAAAACGCCGTGCGTGTCGTACAATGGGCAGTGAATGTTCATACCGAAGAGGCTAGCTACCAACGTCTCTAGCGCTATCGCGAACGACGCTATCGTCAGCGTCAGCTGAAGCTGGATCAGCTCATTCCGCTGGTTATCAAGCTGTATGTTCACGTAGTCCTCCGTGTCGTCGATGTATTCCCGCACCTGCCCAATGCTCATTACTATTATTCGTTTCGAAAAACCATTAAAGAACCAAGATCAGGATTTAACCCTTTTGTTGGATTTTCGATACGTTAGGATGGCCATTTCGGGTTTTGGTTCCGATTCTGTTAAGCTATATTTGGGTTCGGTTATTTAGGTTTTAGGAAAACAATAACCATTCGGTTTTTATATCGAATTCAATTCGACTCGAATTCGATTTTTATTGATAAAAATATTTATTTTTCAAAGATATTTCATTATTTTTTTGGTTACTTTTTATTCGATTCATTTTTTGTTTTTATGGTAACCTCACTTATCGTGGGGTAGGGGTAAGACTCTCTAGTATATTCTCTTCCCCAATACCCCATGGGGACTCGAATTAAGTTGGTCCTTATTTCTATTTTCAGTGAAATCATAACTGGTCGATTTTATATCGGATTTGGTTTAGTTACGGTTGCATGTCATTCGGTTCAAACAAGTCCAGTTATTCGGTTATTAACCAAATCAGTCACCCCTAATTACTACTACTTACCGTGAGAATCTTGTTACGCATTCCCTCTAGCTGCATGAAGTACGCCTCGAGAAGCATTTCCAAATCCTCTACATCATCATCCCCTTCGTTGTTGCTCGTTAACAAACTTCCGCTTCTTGTTGATGCGAGCTGGTGAAGATTTGATGCATACGGGACAATGTTATTTGATGATGTTACGCCCGCGAGTGTTGCCTCGGCCTGCTGACTCTGGATCCATTTCCTTGTTAAGTACAAATCTGCCATGTCTTCGTTATCATCTAATAGATGTTCGATTTCATCTCTCACCTGGTAGTATTACAAAAAACGGGTTTTCGTTAATGTTGAGGAGGAGGAAGGGGACGAAGCTAAACGAGATTATTACCTTTTGTACACGAGCTAGCAAGCGGGTGAGATTACTTTTCAGGCTTCGAACGTATTCAAGATTCTCGGTACTGACATTCTTGGTTAGTTCATCGAGGACTGGCCATGCCTCTGTCTCGAGGGCCACCACACAGCTGTCGATATAAGAGCAGACGACCTCAAGTGCTATCTCGAGAACTTGAAATTCGAACGGGAGCTCACTCTGCAAGCCTTCGGCAGCTTCTGGGTCATGCGGAGATTGCACAATCGCAGAAACAGGCTGCTCGTTTTCGGTTCCACTCCTTTGAGGGAACTGTCGCTTTAACCGATCAACAAAGGGGAGAACTTCAGGCCGGACAGGATCCAACAGCAGTACCTCTTCCGCGGTGACTATGGCCTTTATGAACTCTAGATTGACCACAACAGCTTTTTCTCTAGCTGCAAAGCAGAACAAGAACTCATAAATCCTCAATACCTTCCTCGGTGGGAGAAGACTTATTAGCACAGAGAAGAACATCATCAACATCGCCTCATTCCCAAGTTCACAGAGAAGAACAATTAGGGAAAAAACAATTAGGAAAAAAAAATTCAGGAATTCTACAGCTTGCCAAAACAAATTACACATAATAGAGTAGAATGATCGCTAGATTTTGGGGGCGGGGCTGAAAATACGCAGGCAGAGACAGAAAGAACATAATTTCAGCTTACAAACAAAGATTCTTAACCGATAAAATGTTTGTATTCTTAAGTAAGAATGCAATAATGCATCCAATGAAGATGTTCTAACTTCTCATACAACATTGTCACATGTTAGCATCTAACCCCAGTAACATGAAACAAAATGATAGCAGAATCCTCCAATAAATTTACGAATTATCCTTCAGAAACTAGCCGAAAACCCAACTATTAGGAGAGACATTAAATTCTGCAAATGCTGCTGAATCCGAACAAACAAGACAAGAACATTTCAGATGTCAATCCTACCTTTTTCATTGAGAAACATATCCACAGAAATACTTGTCCGAGAATCAAAACAGATATCATAACAAAGGTAGCACTACTTAAGCGAATAGTCAACTGAATCTGCAGACTGCAGATAACAATCCCATTCACCATTAAAATGTCAAGGTTCATCTCTATAACAGCTAATACATGCACAGTGACTCACATTCTTGTCTTCATAATTCTATAGGAGAATCCTTCTGATAACAAAATGGCCGAGCAATCAAACCCCTAGTTCACACAAACTCCGTGAAGCATTTCTAGATGAAAATGCCCTAATTCGATTACTTAGAAGAGGATTAACAACAACCTAACACAAGAATATTAGTTAATATGGTGACATAAAAACCGAATTATCTGTATCTGATGAGACAAATGCAATTCAGGAGGGAGACAATTTCAGCGAAAGAAATCGTTAAGGGGTTGAATCACAAAATCACCTAAAATATTGGAAGAATGAGAGAAAACAGGGCCGAGAATCCTCAAATCCCTAGCAGGAACAGAAGCGCGTTTGATGATGGTGCTCTTATCGCATTCCACCACCTCCATCCCCCCCGTCCGATCGAACCTCATCCACAGCCTCGCTCCGCCGGCCTTCTTCTTCGCCTTCCCCGCTCCTCCCGCCGCCGCCGAATTAATAGGCGGGGGAGGCGGTGGCGAAGACGGAACAATGACCGGAGATGGAGTCCCTGATCCCTCCTTCCCCGGTGCGGCAGACTTTTTCCGGTGACGGAGGCTCGAAGGACGGCGAAACGAGAATGGACCTTTTCCCATCGATCCAAGCCGGAAATCGCAACGTTCTGATCAATCAGTCCTATAAAGAGCCGGAGATCTGACGATGGCTGCAGGAGAATCCGCCGCTAATTCCTCTTCTTCCTCGGCTTCTGCTCTTTCAGTACCAAAAATAGACCCTCGCCCCCGTTTCCCCGTATGCTCGATTTATTTATTTTTAATAATCTATTAATAATAATTACGTTCAATTGTAATATTACTAATTAAGATAAAATCCCATAATGCATCGATTCTCTGGTTTTATTTATTATATTCGTTTTTTCTTTCCTTAAAAACTCTTTTTGTGTTTGGTATATAACGCTTCACTGGAAACCCTTTTAACCCGTTTCCTATTACCGTACGGCAACCACCGTAGGTCACAAAGACTGCAACCGAATACGCCGTTTCCCGGTAACATTTGTTTATTTTCTTTTATATTTATCATGTGGTCTTAGTATCTTTAATTTATTTAAAAACAATTGTCACAATTTATACTGAATTCTAAAAACCTGAATGAACTATATAAATTTTTGTCAAATTCCAAGTAACTCCTAACATTGTTAACTGTATAAACCAAAAATACAATTAGACAACTAAATCACACATCATGTCATCCAAGGCAATTACGTTGATAAAAAAATTTAAAATATAAAAAATACACACACATATATACATACATACACATACATATTAAAAACTTTGTTTTTAAGAATTTAATATTCCTTTTGGAATTTTTTATAAAGCTGTGTGTTTTTCCAAATTTCTTTTTATTTAACAAAGTTGCTTACTCTAGAAAAATATCAATTTGACTGCATTAATCACGATAAAAATTGTTTTTAGAAGATTAAATATGAAATATAAATTTATAAAATTTAATATATTGGAACCAAATCCACTTGTCATCGCATGGATATGAATTATAAAATATATTTATTTAGAATTTAGCATTCACATTTAATCTAAAATGCGATTTCACGTCGTTTTCATCTCGATATTATATATATACACACACCAAAATATTATAATATAAGGATTTTAGTCGTTGAAATTTAATAAAAGTGTACATAAATATAACAAATTATAAAACTAAATTTTTATAAATGTAAGTTATAATAGTACTAGAAAATATTATGAACAAATTAATAATGAAAATTCACCTTTTGGCCAAAAGGCAGGGCGATATCATTTTGGGTTTTTTTTTACTAGACTTTTAGACGGATAATGATGAGATTACGGATTATGAATTATCCTTATAATTATCAACAAGATCAATGATTTTCTAACTTTGATTTTCACAAGAGATTTAATAAAATTCTTAGACGTTAAGTCGAATATTTAGAATATTGTAATTTAGATATAACAATTTTGGATGGGATATAGATAATATTAAATTCACAGTACATTTTCAATGTTCCCTTTTTTTTTTTTTTTTTTTTTCAGCTGTTGAGAACAAACATATTTTATTCACTTTTGTTGGTTCTAATTACATATATACACTGTGCCAAAATTTCTATATTATCAAGAAAATTTACTTTTATTTTATTAGTTTTAGATTTTCTTGGTTTTCTATATGATGAACAAATATGTCATTTTTTAATATTTTTTATATTTGTTTTACACGATTTCCCTAATTCTTAAAAAACTAATAATATAATAGACCAAAAAATATATTCGGCTAATTAAATAATGATATCACATAGTTAATTTCCCAAATGAAAGGTTCGTCGCATAGATAAAAAAAAAACCATCGGCCACTGTATTCAACAAAAGTTAGACCTAAAATACAAATATTCCGAAAAAACAGTCAGATAAAACATTTTATATATTTCTAATAGAAGAGTGCTATTTACTCCCTCTATTTTATTATAATTGATGTTTAAAATTTAAATTTATAAATTAAAAAAATAATATTGTATCCAAAATACCCATTTATTGTACAAAAAAATATTATGTAGAGTATTTAAATATTATTAATAAGGGATAAATTTGAAAAAAAAAATTATATAGAAAATCTCAAATCGTTACTTATTTTTGAAACAAAAAAAAACTATTCTAAAAAGTCACGTAAAATGAAATGAAGTTAGTATCATTTATACATTAATATCGTACATCTTCTTCGCCATATTATTAATTTATCCTATGAAACCGAACCCTGATGTGCTATTTGTTAAATTAATTAATTTATCATATATATATATATATATACACATAACTACTTTAGTATTTGTTGCACGATAATGTTATAAAATTTAAAAAAAAATAAAGTAAAATCCACAATTTCAACTATGCCACCCAAATGAAATGACGGTGGAACAAGCCGACCACAGTGCCGCCATGAATTAAAAAAAACAAAAACAAAAACAAAAAACAATCGATGTTGGTCCTGAAACTTCGCTTCGGTTTTTTTTTTTAAATCACTCGAATCCAATGATTGAACTCTACAATTTATTTATTTTTTAATTGCCGTATCGACTGAATTGATAATGGAGTCGTATCGGAATTTATTTAATCATAATGCCATAGTTTTTCCTACAAGGAAGACACGTATGCATATCTACACAGTACATGTTATATTAAATCAAGAAACCGAATGGAAATTTCACTCATATGTGGTCCGAAATTATTTATTATGAGTTTTTTCCCCAAGTCATCCATAAAACAGTTGATCCTCTGAAAATTTTATAAATCGCAGTCGTTTTGTTGACTATTTCATGGGTTATACAACAAAAAAAAACAGCCATAGTACTATTACGAAACCAGAAAGAAAAAAAATGAAATAGACAAAGTGTGTGTATATATATATATATATATATATATAAAATACCGAATTAACGTACAAATTTCCCAAGAATCCATTGATAAAGAGATTCGAAAGAACCGGTAGAAGCTGTAAACTACCAAATTTGTAAATCGAATCATCCGTCCGTATGATATAAGATGTCAGAAATAAAAATTTCATATATAACCATTTTCTATATATATATATATGTATTTATTCCAAGCTAGTTTGCCTCGGGTTAAACAGAACCTCGTCTTACAAGATTCCGTTTCCGGGCATATGATATATCCGACCAAACTATACATATACAACTCCCAACTACTTATCTCTATGAAAACCCTAACTGGGTACATGCAGAAGTCCAGATTCTTTGGAAACCCTAAAAGATCCGAATCGACATAACCAGTTTTTTTTACATCAATGGGTTTTTTTTATTAATTTAAACCCCCACCTCATAACTTCCGGCCTCCGGCAACTTATTCAGGTCAGGCTTCTCCGCCGTCCTCCACGGCGCGGCGGACTCCGCCGCTTGTCCTGACCGGACCGCCGCATCGACTCTGGCTCCGACCTCCGCCGCCCTCTTCCGTATCACTGCGGCCGACATGTCCCCCACTTCTCCGCCGCCGCCGCCGTCATCGGCGAAGATGAGGTCGGGAAAGTTGAGTCTGGCGGAAGGGCCACGGAGGTAGAAGACGGCGGTGTCGTAGGCTCTGGCGGCGGCGACGGCGGAGGAGTAAGACCCTAACCATAACCTTGACCGCTTGTTCGGTTCCCTGATCTCGGCGACCCACTTGCCCCACTTCCTCATCCTTATCCCTCTGTACGGCCTCTCCTTCTGGCTCCGCCGCCGCACCCTCTTCCCCTTTCCCGCCGCGGAACTCGCCGGAAAATTCTCCGCCCCCATCGCTGCTGCTGCTGCTGTATGTGTTTGCGTATGTGTATATATATAGAGATGAGGATGAGACAAAAGAAGGATGAGTTTCCGGTTTGGCGGCTACAAATGACGTCTGTGGCTCGACCGCCACGATTATTTATATATACATATATAAATATATATATATATATAATATTTTACCCTTTTAATTTATAAAAGCCATATTTAGCCGACATAACCCATCACTTACCACAATCTCCTTCAAATTAGCCTCACGACTAATTGGGGTTATAATACAATCTTTAATTATGTGGAATTGATTTTCACAATTATTAAAACACGCCAAACTCCTATAAAAATCTTTCATTCAAACTTTTAATATTTAGGTTTCTTTGCAATTGGCAGACCCAAAGTTTTCTAAACCCATTTATTTAATGAAAAAATTATATGAAACGTGACCTTTTTATTATAAAAAACCAAGATTTTTTTAACAAAATATGTAAAAAGGTTAAACCCAAAATCCAAAAAACTAAATATTTTAAAAAGAGGTCGTCCCATCAAGATCTAAATCGTGGGGGGAATTAAATATATTTTGAGTGGAAAAAAATTGTAAATAATAAATGAATCGGAATTAGTGCAAAGTCCTGAAGCGACTGAAAATGGCCGCTTGCGTCTGAGAGATGGAAAAGGTGAACGCAAGAAGCGGCTCGTGGACATTTGGCCTGCCGACGTGGAATCTCATCCTTTACGGTTCCCACTACCCGACAAATTCCTCCGGTTTTCTCTCTGTACCGGAAATTTTGCTGATTAACCGGAATTTCGGGAAGTCTACGGGGATTTTGAAATTAGATAGATATGTATGTTTCAATCACTCCTACAACAGCATGCAATTGTTAATTCGAATGTTTTGGTTTTTTGAAGTCTGATTTGTATGTTTAGATTTTTTCGTTTTTGTGAGATCGATTAGACATACATATTCATTAGGGTAGCCATTTCGGTTCACTTCGCTTATATTTGGTTATAAAAAAATTATAACCATTAGTTTTTTATATTTATTTCGAATCATTTCAGTTCAATTCGAATTTGGTTTTTTTTTATTGAAAAACAACTCAGTTTTCCAAACAAATTATCGGTTTTTTCATCTAATTCACTTATTCCGTTAATAACTAAAATTGTCATCCTACTATTTATCCTATTTGTTAAAGTAAGAAAATAGTATATTCAACATCTAGAAGGTCCAAATCGACAAATGAAAATATGAAGTTGAATCTCGGAAGCACAAAAAGAAAGAGGCAATAAAAAGAAAGAATACATTTGCATCAATTAAGACAAATGCAAAGCACATATTCGAAAGATATTGAGAGAATCACTTATATAAAGAATTGTATATATACTGAAGATTCTATTACAGAAAAGGTTGTCGAGATTATTGTTTGTGAGAGTTGAGTCTGTGATTTTGGTGAGGGTTATATGTACAGGAAACACTGGTGAGTGACTTCTGAGAGAACATGAGGTATATATGAGGGAGAGTCTTAAGTAACAGACGAACCGCTCACTGGCCGAGACGTGATCTAGGGTAACACGGGGTGTGTGATGCATACAAAGTATTTGTAGCCAAGGGCGAATCTACGTATAAGTGTATGGGGGCACATGCCCCCACTCAACCAATTAAAAAATATTATTTTTCACAAATTATAGAAAATTTTGAATAAAACCGTATAATGCCACCATAAAATTAATATTGTTTATAATAAAAATAAAATTGCCCCCAGTTGAATAATTTTATACGTCCGCCACTGTTTGTAGCTGATAGAATTTCTTGTGATATTGAGATTTTACTCAGGGGGAGTAAAACTGGGTGGGTTGAGTGATACTTGGAAAGGATTGAAGTGTACTTGACAAGTATCAAAGAAATAGAATCAGTTTGGGAATTCTTGTTTTTTCAATAGTTTGTAATTCTTGGTTGAGAAGCTTCTGAGACTGTGTGAAATACAACTGACTGTATGATCCATCTCCAAGACCTGATTATCTTCGTGGCAGGATTTCTTGACCTAATTATTTGACTTCCTCATGCGAATGTGATTCTGTCAATTTTGTTTAAGTTTTTCATTTAATAACCTGTGATTATTTGAGCGGTTTTGCTGATGTGAATATGCTAAATTATCTCCGAACAGAAATTGAAAAATAATTAAGGTTTTTCTTTAAAATTTGAATTTTCTGTGATTAAATGAGCAGTTTATGAACGTTCCCTAATTTCTCGCATTCTAACCTCACACATCTTCAAGTCTTGTTCACTCTCTAGCGGTTCGACTTCGAAAGTTTTCTCTCAGAAATTTTCTCTAAAAATTAAGAACAAGAAATCAGGGAAGATCTTCAGACAAGGAGAACGTCGCTATACACGGAACGCTGCCAAAAGCACTCTCGAATCAGGTAACCCTATACTCCCTGGAATTGTCGAGGAATCTGAGATTATGGATACAGGTGCGATACAAGGAAAAAGGGCAGAAGAGAAATTAAATTCAGATGTGGCTCCACTTCAGAAGAAAAGGAGAAAAACAAAATCTAAGAGGGAAACAATAGGCCCGTCACAACAAACAACACATGCGGAGTCTGAATCACATGAAGAAGGGCAGGGTCAAGTTCAATCTGAGGAGGATTTGGCAGAGGAAGAAGTACAGAAGGAGACTGAACCAAATGAGGAATCAATAGAAGGTGGAATTGTATTTGAGAATCCAGACCTTAACCCTATACCTCCTAAATCTCATCCAATAGTCTCTCATGTACAAGAACAAGCATCAGTGATACCTGATATGAACAATCCAGAAGAAGGTGGTAATCAAGGAGAGGATGATGTCAAGGAGACCATCGGTGAATGTGCACAGGAAAGGGATGGTATAAGTGATGAACGCACCATTACTGAAGCTCTGGAAGAAATACAAGATGAAACAGAGAAGGAGGGTGAAACTGAGACTCAATCGCGTGCACCAGAGATACCTGTTCCTGCCTCTATAATTTCAGCTGATTCTGATAGTCCATTGATTGTCTTACAACAGAAAGCTAAGGCACGAAAGGCAACTCGGAAGCACAAAACTACTTCAACATAGGGGAAAGAAACTTCCACTACCACTCAGAGAGTTCAGAGAAGAAAAATCTCTAAGAAAGGTAAAGGAACTGAGACATAAGGTCCATTAGAACCATCTATTCTATCCAGTAAATCAGGTGACTAGGCTCTTAAACCTCTCTTTGATAAATTTCTATCTACGGAAACTAAGAAGAGGTTTGACAAGTTTAAAGGAGTGGATGTGATTGATGAGAGAAATGTTAATGTCATGGACTTTCGCAAAAACCATGTTTGGGATTTATTTGAAGAAAGACAACTTACAGGCACAATGATCTATGCTTGTGCGTTTAGTAAGGTGCTTGTCAGAGAGTTTTATGCGAATCTTATACAGAGTACTGAAATTCATGGAGATTCAATGTATCACAAGGCCTTTGTGAGAGGAAGATTTGTTGAATTCTCGTATGCACTTATCAACAAGATGTTTGGCACACCGGACACCTCAGAGCAAGGATTAGAAGATCTTCCAGAGGGGATTACACTTGAGGATACATAAGTAGCTCTCACTGGAGAGTATGTTCTTGAAAGGAATGGAAAAATTCCCATTGCGAGTCTGAGGTTCGAAAGCCGAGTGATGCAGTTAGTAGGAAAATTCAACTGGTTGCCTACACGACACACTGATGTGATACAAGATGAAATGGCTCTTCTCATCTTTAAGCTGTTGGGAAAGAGGAGGTTGATTTGTGACGAATCATTTATAGCCACATTCTCTCTAGAGTTGTTGATCTGCGAGTTCGGTATATGTTGCCTCATCCATGTCTTATTCAGAATATGATTGTCCGTTAAAGTCCAGAAGTACTTGCTAAATCGGAGATCACTCAAACAGTTCAACGACCGTTGGTTATTGAAATCAGAATTCAATAGACTAGGATGAGTCGGGCACAGCTTTGCAAAAAACCTTCACTCTCCTGATGAAACATGACAAGCTGTTTCTTCAAGTGGAACAGTCGAACATGAAGAACACCAAGATTATAGCTCAGATTCGTGTCCAACAACATGCTCTTTGGGAGGAGTTTCAGAGTAATGGCTAGACAACTCACTTCACTGAGGTATGTCTTCTGAATATTCACATTCTAATATTTTGAATTTTTGCTTACCCACACAGGGGGAGAAATTAAAGGCGGAGCACCCTCGTCAAGTGCTTAAGACAAAGGAAAAAAAAGTGGTAGACGAAGTGTTAAGTAAGCCTGAGGAAGTGGACCCTGAAGAACATACTGAAGATCTGAGTGAATAACACTTCACCAATAATGAAGTCGCCTTGTTCTATCCATCTTGTGCGATCCGTCTTTTGTGTTTCCATTTTTCTAATGTTGTTCTTTCCTTGCTTCTTTTCTGGTTTGTTGAACTTAATGGTTAGACATATTATGGTTGCTATGAATTGCGATTATGTGTTCTGTGAGTTTGAGTGTATCTAAGTAGAAAGTCAAAAGGGGGAAGAATGTTAACGCAATGAAATAGCATATTCAGCGTTTAGAAGGTTCAAATCGACAAATGAAAGTATGAAGATGAATCTAGGAAGCACAAAAGGAAAGAGGCAATAAAAGAAAAGAAGATATTCGCATCAATCAAGAAAAAGGCAAAGCATATATTCGGAAGATATTGAGAGAATCACTTAAAGAAGTGTATATATGCTGAAGACTCTATTATATAAGAGGTTGCCGAGATTATTGTTCGTGAGAGTTGAGTTTGTGATCTTGATGAGAGTTATATGTACGGGAAACACTGGTGGGTGACTTCTGAGAGAGTGAGGTAGATCTGAGGGGAGTCTTAAGTAGGGGTGGGCGTTTCGGGAAATGGTTCGGGTTCGGGACGGGAATTGATCGGTTCGGTTCTTTCGGTTTTACAAAAATAGATACCAATCGGTTTTTATATTGTATTCGGTTCGGTTTAGTTTCGGTATCGGTTTGGTTTCGGTATCGGTTCGGTTCGGTTCCGGGTTTTATTAAAAAAAGGATAGATTTTCTTTAAAAATATTCGGTTTTTCGGGATTTTTAAAGTTCGGTTCAGTTCGGTTCGGTTTCGGAAAAATTCGGTTCTCTAAAAATGGTCCTGTTCGGGAATTAAGAACGGTTTCGGGTCGGAAAAAATACCGTTTTTTTGGTTCGGTTCGGTCCGGTTCCGAAGAACCGAACCGAAACGCCCAGCTCTAGTCTTAAGTAACAGAACGAACCGCTCACTGGCCTAGACGTGGTCTAGGATAACGGTGTGCGCTGCACACAAAGTGTTTGTAGCTGATAGAATTTCTTGTGATACTGGAGTTTTACTGAGAGGAAATAAAATTAGATGGGTTTAATGCTAATTGGAAAGGTTTGAAGTGTACTTGATATGTAGGGGTGGGCATTCGGATCGGGATAATCGGGTTCGGATAAATTCGAACCGATTAATCGGGTTTCGGATCGGTTCGGGTTTTACTTAAATAACCGATGGTTAGTATATCCCTATAACCGATCGGATCGGTTCGGTTTGGGTAAATAACCGATCGGTTCAGTTATCCAATTAAACCGAAATAAATTAAAACTTTGTGATTAATTAGGGTTACTAACCTGGGTCTATAATCGTTTTTCATCTGCCTCCTTCGACTCCTCCTCTGTAGCCTCCATGTATCGAGTTTCAGCCCCGGCCAGCTCCACCAAGCTCCTACTCTGCCAAACCCTCTGCTTATTTGTTTCCATGATCTCTTCGAACCCGAGGGCCGAGATTCTCAATCGACGTCGAGATCTGAGCTTGTCTTCTCCGGCGAGCTCCGCGATTCTCCTCTTCGTCGACCTCTGGGCTTCTCTCCGTCGAGCTCTGAGTCTTGGTTTCTCCTCTCCGACAAGGTCTGAGCTTGTCTTCTCCGTCAAGCTCTGGGCTTCTCTCCGTCGAGCTCTGAGTCTTTGTTGAGATATACCGGATTTTGAAGAATATTACGAGATATATCGTATAATGGAGATCTTATCAAATCCGGAAAATATATATTTAGAAATATTTATTATTATGTGTACTTTACTTATTTAAATGTAAGACTCTCATCTATTTATATGTTATTTTGACTATCAATAAAAATTATTCCGCAAATTTCTACATGGTATCAGAGCCTGGTTCTTTTCTAGTTTGTTGTTCTTTTTATAAAAATGATGATCGACAATGAGAGTGAAGATGAAGATGATGATATACTGATCCAGTGGTAATATCATTTCGAGTTTTTTTTTATTAAGAATAAGAGAGTCATTTTATTTTTATTTTTTTATTTTCTCTCATAATCCCACATGTTTCTAAGGATTATTCGCTTAACCGCCAATCATCTTATTCTTGCCAAAAACTTTGTTGTCATTAAACGTTTTCGCGTAGTTGCCTTTCAATCTCGGATGAATCAGAGTTATTCTCGAGACTTCTTTCTGCACCGCGATTGTCGTCCCTTTTTTTGTTATCATCAAACGATTCTTTTGTGCGTGGTGCCAAAGTTGCAGCGCAGTCGTTTGTTTGATTTTTTTTAGTTATGATTGACACAAGTTTGCAAGGTGATGTGGTTCAAGCGGCATGCGTTTGATCATCTTTTCAGCAAGTTGGGCATTTCATGATCTTCCACGCTCCAACTTGAAGGGGGATGTTGAGATATACCGGATTTTGAAGAATATTACGAGATATATCGTATAATGGAGATCTTATCAAATCCGGAAAATATATATTTAGAAATATTTATTATTATGTGTACTTTACTTATTTAAATGTAAGACTCTCATCTATTTATATGTTATTTTGACTATCAATAAAAATTATTCCGCAAATTTCTACAGGTTTGTCATCTCCGACGAGGTGTGAGCTTCTCTTCTCCGTCGATTTCTGGGATTCTCGGTCTCTGAATCTGTCGAGTGTCGTCGGTCTGAGTTTTGTGATCGAAGCCGAGTCTCCTGTCTGTCATCTTTCTGCCATTGCCGATCACCTTTCCTGAGCTAAGTTTTCTGCTATCGAGTGTCATCGGTCTGTGCCTCTGGTTCTCGGCCTGCCATGAGCTAAGCATTATAATGCTTTTTCTGCAAAGCTGAGGAGGTGTGTTTTCTGCAAGTATGAATAGCTTTGAGGAGGTGTGTTTTATTATTTTACATTGATCTGTCCTAAGTTATGTGCCTTTAATCTCGTTTTCCTGGGAAGAAAAGTGAACAAACTTCATGAATTGTTTTTATGGAGGTTATCTGTTCATCTTGCCTTTTCAAATATGGATGAAAACGGATACAAGGGGACTAGGAGCCAATGATCTTGCAATGTTCTGGGATTTACAAGTTCTGTTTCATAGGTTAATTATTTTTCTTATGCTTACATCTTCTCTCATTCTCTTTTATAAGGCCAATAAAATTAGAAAAATAAATCTTGCTGCTACTGGAAAGGACCTTATGGAAGACGAAAAGCCAGGAGATGTCACAGTAGACCTCTTTGCTGCTTTGGACATGGAGACCGAAGCTGTTGCTGATCGGTCGCTAGGCCTCCTTAATGGTTTTCTCTCTGTAGTCGATTTGTAGGTACCTTGGTTCTTCTTGAGATATAATTTGACTGCAAGTATAGATTGTCATCTATTTTTCATTTTGTTGGTCTTCCTCTCGTATCAATCCACTGTCAACATAGTTGTCTGAGTATTTGAAAAGTATGTTTTTTGAACTGGTGCATGTGGAAATTCCATGTTATCATCGTCATGATCATGGAAGTCCTTTAGGACTAGTACTTCTGCATGGATTGGTTGTTTGTGGTAATTGAATCTATTGTTTCGTTTATGACTTGAAAGGACGTGTTGGACATCTTTCACTAGCATCTTTTCCCAAGTATATGGATCAGTCAAGTAGTGTGGAAGATATTGATATGGATATGAATTTCATATATGATGATGAACCAAATGATGGCATTGCTCCTTACACAAAATTGATTGATATCTCATCTTATTTGTTTGGATAAACCCGAACCGAACCCGAAAAAACTCGAACCAAACCCGAACCGAACCGATTAAGATTATATATCCGATTGGATATGAATATTACAAACCCGAACAATCCGAACCCGAAATAACCGAATCCGAATAACCCGATCCGAACCGATCGTCCACCCCTATTGTGTATCAAAGAAATAGAATCAGTTTAGGAATTCTTGTTTCGTTGAATGGTATGAATTTACTTTTTCATCGTTGATAAAAAAATAGTCGATTTTCCGTCAATAAGATATTCAACTTTCATCTATAATGTTGGTAAAGATAAAAAAAAAATACCAGGACCAAAACTAATATTTGGTTTGTTACAACGATGAGCATTTTGGTTCAAGAATTCAGTTTCAAATCGGAACCAAATCTAAATTGATTTGAAACAAATTCAATAATATTTATCATTTGATAAAAATTAAATTATGACTTTTGTAAAATCGAATAAACCATTTTTCGAATAAACCAAAACAAACCAATTCGATTCTAATTTAGTAAAATTATTGTACAACCGAATAATCCATTTTGGAACCAAATGAAGTAAATACCAAACTGAATCCCAAAACGACTATATGTTGTCATTTATTTTAGACTAAAATCAGAAAAAATACTTAAAACAAATTTTTTAACTTTTTTTTAGATAAATTTATTTTCGAATTTGTGAAATGTGTAATTATAATTTCCAAACTTGTTATTCCGTATTACAAAAAAATTTAACGATATTGATTAATATATAAATTGAGAATTATGATGATATGTTTTATAAATTTAAAAATTATAATAACATGTTTTATAAATTTATAAATAAATTTGTTAGGGCAAAAAATTTATAAATTTATTTTAAACCATTTTACAAATTCAAAAATTTTTATGGATTTTTTCTTTTTGTTTTATATGTAGATTTTCAAAAAATAAGATTATATAGATTGATAGTATATATCTGGTTTAATTAAACAAAGGCTACAAGAATGTAACATCGATGTGCTTACACAAATCGATTTCAATTTTAAGAAACAAAATAACAACTATAAATCATCATCATCATCATCATCACTCAACATGTAATCGTCTTCATCCTCCATCCATTCATCCTCTGAAAACGCCGAAACCCTAAAACTCCCAAACCCGTCGCTCTCCAATTCTCCAAACCCATCATCGTAATACGAAATCGAAAACAACCCATCGCCGGAATCTCCATCTCCGTCGCCGTCGAAGATTCTCCGATCACTCGGAACCAAATCAGCCTCCGTTATCTCCCCGCTCTCCACTCCGTTCCACGGGACCCACAAATCCGCGATACGACCAAGGGCTCTTCCCCCGTCGCCGATAACCACCGTCCCGAGATTCGCCTCTCGGGCTTTCCTAAGCATGTCGGAGAAGTCGCTGTCGTCGGAGACCAGAACCAACCAGTCGATGCCACGTGTCATCGAGTGCTGCATCTGCCTCTTCAGAGCCCAATCCGCCGCCTGTGGCTTGTCCTCCACCTTACTTATTTAAATGTAAGACTCTCCGCCGCTTCGTTGTACTTGTCGTTCCCGTTTATGTACCGTTCCTTGTACTGTCGCCGCTTCTTCCCCTTCAGAGATTTCATCCGATTCATCTTCTTCTGCCTCTCCCGCTCGTGGAGTTGCCGGAAATGCTTCTTCAAGTCGAGGTTCGTCTTGCATTTCCGGCCACAGACGCCGCAGATGTACGGATCCGGCGATCTGACGACGCCTTTGCGCTCGAGGATATCGAGCTGCTTCCTCTCCCGCCGCTCCTCCACCACCCACTGCGGCAGGGGGGTGAAGGCGTGACGGTTCGCGTAGGCGGAGATCTCCACGACCCGACCGAGTTTCTCGGCGACTCGCCGGAGCTCTGTCGCGGCGGCGAACGGAGGGCCACGTGGCGGCTTATTGTCGAGGTCCCACAGGACGACGACCTTTTTCTCCTTGGGAGTGAAGACTCCTTCCTTGTTCCTCACCATGTCGATCTCCGACGACGACGCGGAGGAGAAGCACGCTTTGATCTGACATCGCCGGGTTCGTGCGGCGGAGGCGAAATTAGGGTTTCGGAGAGTCGCCGGTGCATCGGAGGATATGGAAAGGAAGTGATTTTTGTGGGGAAGAAGGGGTTTTAGAAAAAGGGTATCGATTGAATTACAGAACAAATTCATATTTTCTTACAAAATCGGAGAGATGATGTTTCGAAATTCCATTCCATTTGCGAAGAGAGTGGCAAAAAGGACAGGAACTCAGAAAGGTTGGGACTTTAAGGATAAGCCACCATTGTTGGAGGAGGATTCTGTGAGCCCCGTCTATTATTGGGCCTCTTTCCTAATCATTTGGGCCTGGGCCCATGTGTTAAGAACCTCGTATCTTCTCTTTCCTATGGATTACGTGTCATATTGCTATTTAAAAAAATGTTTTAATTGCGATTTTAATGTAATCGGTGATATTTGAAAAAAAAAATGTTTTTTTAATGAATGAAAGGGATTGATATGTTATTATATATATATAACAACACTATTTTAATTAACGTAATTAGCAATTCTACGCACCCTTATTTATCTTAAAATATGTTTGTCTTTTGTATTTGATAAATCTAATCTCCATATCCATCAATAAAAATCCCATAAAAATACGAGAGTATAAAAAATATATATTTAAAACTCAAAGTATGAAATTTGGAAGAGAATGATGTGTTTCGATTTTATATAACCAGAAATGGCGTGACACACACCACCAACATGATCCTCTTGCGTGGAACGAGGCGAAGATACATGCATACATATACACACATAAAATATATGCATGTATAATAGTTACTGTTTGGGATAATTTTATTTTGGGAAAAGTAATTAAATGTTCCAAAAACAAATCTATCTTATCATATGTATAAAAGTACAGTTAGATTAACATGGGCATGACACGTATCTCATTAGTTAGAATATAAAAGGTTTTTCAAACAATTTAAGACTCATTAATTATATACCTTTGAATATAAACACGTATAGAAAATAATTTTCTTTACAATAATTTATATTAATTTAAAGATTTATTACATACATACAGATTTACTGCATACATACAATGGGATAATGATACAATGAAGATGTTCACGTATGTAATAACTAGATATAATTAATTTTAATGTAACTTTATTTATTATTTTAAGTTAAATATATATATTTCATAAGAAAAGTTAAATGTATAGAATTAATACTCTTATGTTATATATGCCTTATTTTTCTTATATCCTATATATACAATTTTTTATTTTGGTTATATCTATCGCTTCATTAATTTCTCTAATTTTTCTGATTACGCTAATTCTTCTATTCATTGTATTCAATGTCTCTAATTTTCATAATAGCATTCATTTTCACTATACATGTTCTTACGTTATTCAATGTTATTTTTCGTCTATATAAAGGCATGTTCCTCGACAACAGTTTGTGTAACCCACAAACTAACTTGCAAACATCTAAATCTTTTTTCTATTCTGGTCATTATTATGTTCTCTCATACAATGTCATTCTTTAGTATGCCATTTTAGTAACGGTTGTTGATCCCATCAACATAAATGACCCAAGATTATGGTATATAAATCTTTGATTATGCACTTAGTATTTTTTTTTTTTTTATATTTTGAAATTTCATAGGAATGTCTTTTTTATAAATTAATTTTTGTGAAGGACATGACATAAAACCCTATATGTTCTCACATCTGACAGTAATTTTTTCTTTTTGTCATGTAGAGGTCTCTTGCTTGCAGTCTATCTAATCGTGGTGACTATGAAAAGTCTAAGATGATGTCGTACGTTACTGCGACGATGACACGGGAAGATGAAATTGATCCATGTCCATGTTTTTTTTCCTTCTTAGTACATTCATTTTAATCTACATTAATTTGTTTTGCATTTGTTAATTTCTAAATTTTTCCAAGGAATATAACTTAACTAAAGTTTCTAAAGAATATAGTATTTTCATGTAACCTGGTTAATTTCAATTCAACTACCAAAAACGATATACCTTATATATGAATGTATAGTACATTAACTTACATTGATTTATATTTTTACTTGATTTATTGTATTAAATTAAACATTTATTTATTCTAATAAATTAAACATATATATTTCATAAAAAAAGTTAAATATATTGAATTATTAATATACTTCTAACATATTCTTTTATAGGAAAATAATCCGTGTCCTTTTTTATATCCTATATATACATTTTTTTAATTAATATATCTATCAAAATAGTTTAGGCTGATCAACCGTATTCACTTTTTTACATTTTTTCTGTTGAGTCGTCACAAATGTAAGACTACATATGATTGAAATATAAGCGATGTTATTTTAGAAAAGCCCAATACCATGTTGTTTCTCTTGAAGTGGGGGAGTGGAAGCGCCTTGAAAACGTGAATCTCACAAGAATCTCAAAATTGTCTTTCTTCTTCTTCTGTAATCTGATGTGGTTCTCTGTTTTTTTTTAATGTTTTCTAATTTACCGAAATTTAAAGTGAATGAGGCCTATTGTTAAAATTCATCAGGGGCTTGAAATATTTTTCTCTTTCAAATAAGTGCCTTTTATTTATTTTTTTAAATTTTCATTTGATTGAATATAGTTTGTGTGACAACCCAGAGTACCGTAGGAGGGCGGGGAGTGATTGCCGGTGCAGAGGCACGGACAAGGGGCGGCTCTTGACGAGCTTCTGGGTAGGGGGTACAGGGATGAATCGAACACACCGGAATGAGAGAGATCCGAGGGCTGTGTAGGTATGGGACTATACAGTCTAAGATAACATAAAAGAATTAGTTGAGCTACTCATAGCAACAAGGTGCACCTACCTTTTTGGTTGACTATCCCGAGAGAACTCCAAAGTTAAGCGTGTTGGCTCTGGAGCAATCTCAGGATGGGTGACCTACTGGGAAGTGTCTCGGTATGCGTGCGAGTGAGGACAAAACACGCTGAAAGGTCTCGGGTTGCTGTGTGAGGGCAGTTTCGACAATTCGTAGCGGCCTCGGGTCATTACAGTTTGGATTAAATAATAAAGTCGGACTAAACAGAACCCAAAGATCGAATCCAAGTGGTATGTGACTTGGACTCGCTTAAGTAGGTCTCGAGTTCGAATCTTGGTGTATGCAGACACTGCTGTTGGGAGATTCATCCACCATAGCTACGTGTGCGACCCGGGTCGGGTCTAGATTAGTCGGGCTGAAGTTTCAGATACAACTTTATTAGAGTAAAAAAAACATGTACTATTCAACCACGTAATGAAATCGAAGTAAATTGGACCAAACAGTACTAAATTGAAGTTAGCGAAATGGGTATGTTCCTTTCATATAATCGTGATAAAAAACCCCGTATTATATCGAAGAAATAAATTCATCTAAAAAAACACGGTTTTTGGAAGTAATACAATCACATTCATCTAAAAAAAAATGAAAAATCCATAGAAATCGAAGTATTATGTGTATTATTTGTGTTTATACTATAGAATGAGATCACATAATAAAAAAGTAATATTATCTATAGGTCACAGCTTAATGACCAAGGGAATTTTAATATTACAAGCACCTGATGAATTTTATCGATAGGTCCCATTGCCTCAAATAACAAAGGAGAAGATTTTCGTATTTCAAAACCAAATGAATATTGTGAAACAAAAAAAAAATTATTTGTCCTCTTTGACATCATTACAAAACGAGCCCAACAATAAAAAACAAATCTTGATTGTATAGAAAATGTTTGATGATTATATAAACACACGTCTACATACATTTTAGTGATAAAGTTAGGTATTTAATTTTGGTTTATAACTTATTTTTTAGGGATGTTCGACATTCGGATTGGGTTTGATTTAGAAATTGTTTGGTTCGATTCATTCGATTTTACAATTATATGTCTTCAATTATTATTTTATATTCAGTTTGGTTCAGTTTCTGTTTCGGTTGGTTTGATTTTTATTAAAACAAATTTAAATTTTCCTAACAATTTTTTGGTTTTTTGGATTTTTGAAAATTTTGGTTTGGTTCGGTTTTAAAAAATTCGGTTTTCTAAAAAAATACGAACTCAGAAATTTCGAAGGTTCGGGAAACGGTGCATTTCGGTTCTGTGTGGTTCGATTATGAGATATAATACTGAAACGTCAACCTCTATTTTATATATAAAATTTGATTATCTATGTAATATTAACAATGAGAAAAAGAAATTGACGTTTTTTCAGTTGTCTATTTTTTTAATTGTAGAAAATGATATCTAAAATGGTAGTTAGTAACTTTTTAAGGGAATATATCATGTAAATATAAATAAATAAAATTTTAGAAAGTGAATCAAATATATAACATAGAAAAAACAAAACAAAAGTTATATAATAAATTTCTAAAGTTCTAAATCCAAACCTCTAATATAAATTTAAATACAAAAATAACTATAAAAAATTTATGTAAATGGGAATTCATATATATATATATATATATATATATATTAACACTTCAACTCAAAAACATGTAAAATAAATATATAAATCTAAACAAATATATCATTTAATTCAAAAATATTTAAAAAAAAAACTCAAATACAATATGTGAATACTTCAGACAACTTTGTTGGTAGCTCTAATAGTATACGATTTAAGGTACTTCATGTCCGACTTCTCTTAGTACCGGCACCAGATCGAGTTCTAGAAGCTGGCAAAGCTTTTTTTATTTTCCTATCTTGAAATATGCAAAGTCATAAAAAAACAAAAGAGAATATGTACGATGACACTACTAGGTCACGCTAACTAAAACAACTGTCCTGATTAGTGATTACGGGCATACCATGTGTTTCTCTCTAACTAACCCATTTCATATTGGCTAGAACCCCTGGTTTGAGCTCATCTACTTTGTGTCCACATGCTCTCACTCTTACATGGTCGATCTGCATGACCGAAGTCTCCTTTGGCTACGTTCAACCGAGTCGTTTCTACTCTCCCACACTTGATCAATCTCTCCATTTCTTCTCCATCACCTTTCCTACTTTAATTTGCAAGATTGATGTTAATTTTATCTATTAATTTTATAATGAATATTAATATAGTTTAAATTAGTTCCATTTAATTTTTAGAATTTCAATTAAATTTGGTTTATACGTTTTAAATCAAAAATATTTTTTTTCTTTCAAAATTTGAATTTATTTATTTATTTATTATTCTATATATTATGTTTTATCTTAAAAATGTATATCATACATTATTTTTATATCATATTTCTAGGTCATATCATGGTCATGTAACATTATTCAACTATGAAATTTAAATCGTTATTCGAAAGATAAACTTTTACTTACGTCTTTATCCCTGACATATGTTTATTCCTTTTCTATAATTATTTTGTATATTCTATGTCAAATATCATTATTTTTTATTGAAATAGAAGTAAATAAATACTAACAATAA